CCTTAGTAATGGTGGACACCCCTCCCCAACTTCAGACTGCTGTGATGGCAGCAAGAATTTCAAACCAGTGGATCTTAGCTTGCTGGGCTCTGTGAGGGTGGGATCTGCTGAGCTAGACCACTTGGCTTCCTGGCTTCAGACCTCTTTCCAAGGGAGTGAATGGGGTTCTGTCTTGCTGGCATTCCAGGCGCCACTGGGGTATGGAAAGAAAAAACTCTGGCAACTAGCTCAGTGTCTGTCCAAATGGCTGCCCAGTTTTGTGCTTGAAGCCCAGGGCCCTGGTGGCATAGGCACCTGAGGGAATCTCTTGGTCTGTGAGTTGCAAAGAAGTGTAGTATTTAGGCCAGAATGTACCGTTCCTCATGGCAGTCCCTCATGGCGTCCCTTGGCTAGGGGACAGAATTCCCTGACCTCTTGCATTTCCCTGGTGGGGTGAGGCCTCACCCTGCTTTGGCTCACCCTCTGTGGGCTGCAGGCACTGTCTAACGAGTCCCAATGAGATAAGCCAAGTACCTCAGTTGGAAATGCAGAAATCACCGGCTTTCTATGCTGATCTTGCTGGGAACTGTGGACTGAAGCTGTTCCTATTCGGCCATATTGCCAGCCACCATCACTGGAGTTTCTGTTGTCTCTGGTCAGCCTGTGACTTGGAGATTCCCTTAACTGCTGGAGTTCAGGAGCATCTCCTTTCACCAAGTGTTTCCCCGGTGACTGTGTCTGATCAGGTTCCAGAGTCCCCAGATAGTTGACTCTGGTAGCTTTCCTTTTTCCAGCTTAGGCCAGGTGCGGTGGCTCACGCCTGTAATCCCAGAACTTTGGGAGGCCGAGGTGGGTGGATCACAAGGTCAAGAGATCGAGACCATCCTTTTTCCAGCTTAACAGTTGTTTCTGTGGAGAGACTGAACCCTGGAGCCTCCTGTCCTGCCATCTCTTGTCACAAATGTTACTTTAAGACAGAGAAATTTCAGAAATTCTTGCTATGCCTTGTGAAAGTACCTCCAACCTTGAGTCCCAGGAGTTCTGAGGGGCTGTCTCAGCACATTTCCCAGTTTAATGATGCTGAAACAAACATCTGCTGTATGATAGGTGAACTTCTGTGTTTCCTTCAGTGTGCCTGTGAAAGGTGGCTGGCTTTTCCTGTGCATAAAATAACGATAATCCTGCAAGAGTCCTTATTTGAACACAGAATGTGAGAGTCTCTATCTCATTTGAATCAACACAGGCAATGAAAGAACAAAACTGCAATGACCGGGCTATAGTAGAAACAGGATTTTAATATAATATTCAAGTCTAGCATTTGCTATTTACAACAAATAAATATTGCCCCTCCCCAATCAGTAAACATTTTTTTTCTTTTTGCTTTTTATACAAATATTCAATCCCCCCACCCCCACCCCAAATCCTCCTTCCTCGGCAACCCCTGTCTTGCATGGTCTCATAAAGCCCAGGACGCAGTGGTGAATGGCACTTGTAGTGGCATGAGATTCAACATCGATGGGACTCAGCTGGGACTGCCCTCACTCACCGGGTGCAGAGTCTGGTCCATGAAGAGGGTTTCTCTCTGCTCCCGGGGGAGGGCCGGGGTAAGTGGTGGGTGAGACTCCCTCACTCTCGGTTGGCCCTGATGATGGAATCTTTGGTGCGGCCTCAGAAAGGCTAAAGTGGTGGGAGGAGGGGCTGGGACCCCGGCGAAGGTCACAGGTCAGTGCCCGTGGGCATGAGGAGAGAACTGCAGTGGTCAGACACGGTGTGTGAGTGGGTGCTCTGGGGTGCCCATGGGCACAGGTGGCAGTGACCCACACCTGGGAAGGTGTCACAGAAGTGTACAGAGGTGGCACCCAGGGGCAGGCAGGGCACCATGCCTGTTGGCACTGCTCCTTGGCAAAAGTCAGCTAGTCCTCTGGTTCCAGAGAGCAGAAGGCACCTAAGGCGGCGAGTGGTCCATGGGAGGCCAGGTCAGCCTGACCAATGGCAGGCGTCAGTCCCAGCAGCAGGAGAGGTTCAGGATGAAACTGGAGTCTTGGGGTACCCTGGACTGGCAGGTGGGAGGAAGGTGCCCAGCTGGCCTGGGCCACACTTGTCCATAAGTGCTTTGCTACCAGCCAGCCAAGCCCTGGGGAAGATGCCCTCAGAAGATGCCCTTGGCAATCTTGAGTCCTTTCTGCTTCATGCGCGGGAGGGTTGAGCTGGCTCCATGCTTCACCTTTACCCCCTTGGTGAAGGTCCGCTTCTTCAGGACAAAGTCATAGTTGGCGGTAGAGTTCATGGCATAGAACACGTTGGCGTTTTCAGGGATCTTCAGCTCTGGTGGGGGAGGGGCAGAAGGGTGATCAGTGGGGCTCCTGGGGACCTTGCAGGACACCCCTACCACTTGGGAGCCCCTGAGCCACAGACCTGAGATCCCCTCCAATACAGCTCTAGGACTCCAAGGACCCCTCTCAGTGACTCCTGCCTGAGGACAGACTCTGCTGAGGTCCTCACAAAACCTGGTGACTCTTGTTTAAACAGGGGCTGACTCCAGAACCCCCTGGCTTGGCCTGAGCTGGCAGAGGGTCGCCCCATCCTAGCCACACTGCAGCCCTGGCTGCCCAGCTGGAACGGGCTTTCTGGCTTTCTAGAATCCAGACCACTTCCCGGAATCCTGTCCTACTCAGGACAAGGGCTCCAAAGACCAGGAAAGGGCAGGCTTGCCCCAGGCCTCTGGCACTGGTTCCAGGGAGGCCTTTGTCCCTTCTAGAACCGTGGCACCCAGCAACTACTTCCTCTTGCCCCCCGGCTCCCCTCCCCCAGCCACCAGGTCTTCTCTGGCCCACAGCCTGCTGTAAATCAGAGCTGGGCTCAATGTGTGTTCCTGCTGACATCGTGTGGCTTTTATTCTCCTTCCTTAACCTCTTTAGGCCTCAGTCTTCCTTTTCTGTAAGATGGGGGTCCCACCTACCCTGCCCACCTAACCAAAATGGTGCCAGAAGCTGCAAGAGGATTCAGGCTCTGACTTCTAGGGATCACAGGAGTCACTGCTAACTGTCTGGGCTAATGGCTGGGTGTGGCGGTCAGCTCCCTGGAAAGAAAATGGCCATACTATTTGTAGTTAAGTTTTATGGTGCACAGAGGTGCTTTATATATACACGCATACACACACGCATGCATACACACACGCATACACACAAACACACACATAAATACACATGCATACATATGTATGGATTTTTATATATACATACACATACAATTAACCCACTGGCTACTTTCATTTCCCTCCGGGGGATGAGGAGACAAGCGCAGAGGACTGAAGGAGCTTGCCCAGTGTCTCCAAGCCCAGGACCCCTGACTCTCAGCCTGCACCTGTTCTTGACACTTTCCCGGTTTCTGGCGTCCCTTCCAGGGGGCCTCCTCGCCAACCTGTCCCAGTGAGAAGCCTTTCCCTTTCCTCCTCACTGAAGCTAGCATTGAACTGCCTGTTCATGCCCAGGGAAGGGCACACGCTGGGGAGGTCCAGTGGTCACTGGGGGCAACAAGCAGACAGTGGGGGCATCCAGGGCTGCCCTGTCCAGTGTCCACCCACACTCTGCTGGTGAATTTTCTGGGGCCAAAGGCTTCCAACCTGGGGCTGGGGACTGTTGCGGACCCGCCCCCTCTGCCGTCGCCTCCCCAGCTGTCCGACTTACTCCGGTCATCTGAGAGAATCTGCACCAGCTCATAGTCCTCCGGCTCATCCGTGTCCAGGTGGTGTTTGTCCATGGCCTTGCGGATGACGGCCGGAGCTTTATCTTGGCTGGTCACCTGCATTGCGGCAGGGGAGGGGCCATTAGGGAAAAGACCCTGGAGGGGTTATTCCAGAGTGCAGTGGCCAAGGACCCTCTGGAGCCCCCTTAGCACCAAGCACAGGCACTCAGCCTCTGTTCAGGTGCTGGGTCCAGGGAGGGACCCTCAGGCCAGGCTTGGCCCTGATCACTAGCTTCTTCATTTCTGTACCTGGCTTGTCATCTGTCCTTCCCCCACTAAAAGGTGGAGCCCTGGAGGGCAGGGACAGTGGCCCGCGTTCAGGGCGTGTTTGTGGCCGGTGGAGGGAGGGACCCGGCTGCCCGCCCGGCTCACCAGGATGCTCTTGTACATGTTGCCGTTGTCCACGTCCAGGCTGACGCGGATGATGCAGCAGTCGCCCACCTGCTGGTTGTAGAGCGGCAGCGCGGAGCTGGAGTTGCAGAGCCCTGAGACGGAGCGCTTGTGGGTGCGCGTGGCAGCCACAGGTGTGGTGGAGGCTGAGGAGGACGAGGTGCTGCTGGAGGCCGAGCTGATGCCGGAGGTCTCCGGGGACGACTGTGAGGCTGATTCCCAGAACTGAGGGGGGTGGCAAGGTCAGCAGATGCCCTGGGCCCTGCGGGGCACCCCAGGCCAGCAGCCAGCTAGAGCCCTTCTAGATACCGTGTTCAGGATCCAGGGCTTCCTGGCCCCGTGCGTGGACTGGGAGTAACACTGGCACTAGGAAGTGGGAAGGTGGGGAAGGATACTGGGGAGAAGGGCAGGCAGTCACCTTCTTTTCCTGGCCATCGGGGGACTCCGGGACAAAGCTGATGTTGATCTCCTCCACGTCGGAGCTGGAGGAGCCGGCCGAGTGCACGCTGAGTGCATCAGTGATGTCCCCGCTGCTGAGGTAGGGGCCACACCTGAGCTGGTCACAGGACTTGGAGTGGGAGCTACCGCTGGTACTGAGCTCAGTGCTGGGGGCCTGGCGACTGGATGAAGAGCCAGCTTAGTTAAGGGGGATCCCCAAGGACACATCCCACCCCCATAGCCCCTCTCTCTGGGCCTGAGGACTGTGCAAAGTGCTGGGACAGTCACCAGCACTCCATTCACCACAGCCATCTGGGAGAGCATTTAGTATCGCCCCATTTCACAGAGGAGGAAACTGAGGCCCACAGAGGTGAAGGGACTCATCCCGGTCTCAGGGCCTGTCAGCAGCAGGTAGGATCCCAGCGCTAGCCCCCATGACTCCCCGAGCCCAGGCTCAGCCCTGAAGCCTCTGGGCCCCAAGGCGGCTGCCCCTGCCACCCCCGGCCAGGCCCTTACTCGCTCCAGCGCTTGACAATGGCCGCGTTCTTCTTGGTCTTGAGGGTGTTGCTGGCTGACTCGGATGGGGGCTCCAGCTCGCATGACAGGTTGTAACTATGAGCAGAGAGGCAGCGGTGAGAGGACCAGGAGCCACGCTCCGGCACTCCCCCAGCACCTGCCCGGAAGGTGGAGTCAGGGTGCCCCAGCCATCCCCAGGCAACAGAGGCTGACACCACAGGTCACAGCTTCCAGCCCTCTGGAGCTGGTCCCCCAGGACAGCACCCCCCCCCACTGTCCCTTGCTGCCTGGCGTCACCTCTCAGCCTCGCTGAGCCGCTCCACTGCCTGGAACCAGGCCCCAAATTGCTCGTCGGGCGCGATGCTATAGTTGTTGCAGGCCGACTGCAGCAGCTTGATCTGGGCGATCACCTCGAACTCCTGGGGCCAGAGGGAAGCACAGGATTGGTGACAGGGCCCGAGCGGGGCAGAGGACAGTCTCTGAGCCTTTGCTCTTGGGGTCTCCTCCTCCCCTCTACTCCATCCAGGACTTCCTATTTTCAAAGCTGGGCTCACCCAGCCACTCCCCAAGAAGCTGGAATCCTACCACTGCCATCCAGTGGGGGAGACTCCCTTTTCTCTATATCCAAATGTCCCCATGAATCTAAGAGGGAGGGGGTGGGAGTCAAGTGTCCTACCCTGGTAGGTTTCATTTCCACCCCTCCCCCAGTGAGGGCTGCAGCTGCTCACCTTCCTCCTCTTCTCGAAGTTGATGAGTCTGCCCTGGAAGGGGGACACCCAATCGCCATCAGAATGTGACCCCTTGATCATTACAGCCCTCCTCCCCCGACTTCATGCTGCACTATCAAGAGCGCCCACCAGGGGGCGGGGCACACACACCCCTGGACTGGGGTCGGTGCTGTGCACCAGGGCAGGGGGACTTGTGGGCAGAGGCTTGTCCACTCCTCTCTGAGGACAATGGACTGAGGCCTCGGGCAAGGCTCTCCAGCTTCCCTCTGTGCTCAAGGTCACTGCCTGAGGGACGGGCTGTGTCCCGCTTGGCCAAACCCTGCTGCAGCTCTGTGTTTAGGCAGCCCTGGGGTGTCACCAGCCAGGCCCTGAGCTGTTTACTCATTGCTGGGACAGGCATGGTGGCCCAGCCCCCAGGGCTCAGGGAGGAGCTCTCCTCCGGGGCCCCACTCCAGCCCCGACCCCACACCAGCCCTGCCTGGCGCACTCACATACAGATAGTCCTTCATGGCGGTGTCCAGCATCACCAGGTCAGTGAGAAACGTGCCCAGGTAGGGAACGGTGCCCTGGATGATGCCCTGTGGCATTGGAGACACCAATGAGCAAGGCCTCTGCTCGGAAAGCTCCTGAGGCCCCAGCCCCAATCGGCCTCACTTGGAGCAGCCTGGGGATCTCTGGCGGCCTCCCCAGGTCCGCAGCCTCCCTGGACCCCAGACTCCCTCTAGCCACCCACCCCCATTGGCATCTGACAAATGCCAGATTCCTGAGTCGTATGGCCCCTGGCCCTCCCCAGCCCCACACCTTCCATCTGGCTCTGCCAGGCCCGTTCTTTGGTCCTTGCAGATACCAGCTTGTTCAGGCATGGCCCTGCCAGTGTCCAGAAGAGGCCACCTCTAAAGGGGCCAGTAGGCACTGTGGCCACAGAGGAAAGGGCCCCTCCTCCCACTCCCTGCCCCTCTGCAGTCTCGGGCTCTCTCACCGTTTCCTTCGGCCGTTTCTGAGCTCTCTTGGGGTTCATCTCCAGGGTGGCAAACTTGGAGGTCCCCTCCTGCCAGGGTAGAGAATAGGGTCAGTGAGGCCCATCCCCTCAGCCCTGAACCTCAGACACCCCGATCTGGAGCACTGCCAGTGAG